AGGTTAAAAATTGCAGGTGCTAGAACGTTTCATTCAAAATCGGCGTGACCCCAGGAGCCGATTATGAATTAGTGGATCTAGGCGCGTCCAACAATTAATTTTTTGGTATCATTCAACGCGGAATCATTGATAATTATGCTAAATTTTTACAATTGGCAAGATTTGATGAAAAGAAAAAAAATTAGAGCAAAGAAACTGTTTGTTCGAGAGAAAACTTCGAGAGAAAACCGTAAATTTTTCTCTTTTTATCCAATTTGTCTAATTAAAAACAAATTAACATAATTATCAATGATTCTGCGTTGAATGATACCAAACACTTGATGGTTGAACGCGTCTATTAGGTTGATGCAAAAGTCTTTTTCATTTGTTTCGTACTTCTGTTAAAAAGTAACAAATTCACCAATTAATCTATAGTTTGCTCTATAAAAAAAGTGTTTTTTGTTCAATTTGCATCTTTTTAAATGAATTTCGGTTCACTTTCAAGCAAATTCGAGAGTGAAAAACACCTTTTTCGTAAAAATCTATAAAAAACTCTACGGAAAAATTGGCTGAATGAATTTCTCTGAAATTTTGGCGAAATATCAAACTTTTTTTTCTCTATCTTTTATCTATTGACACGAAGATAGGTTTTCTTTAGCTAAGGTGTCTAAACCGCATCATCGAGTTAGCCCTTTTTGACTACCCGACTTCATACTCTCAAGAAAATCCAGGCATTAAATACACTGTGGTGCAAAAGTCCTGACCGGTCGCACTGTCCTATCAACTCTGAACCATTTCGCCAGAAAAAGAACGTTAAAATTTTATGGTAAAAAGGTTTTTGGATAGCTTAAACCTTCTACTTTTATAATCCAAAGAATGAAAGCAATAACATTTTATTTAACAAAAATTTTTGACAATATTCCGAAACGACTCAAAAAAACATGGTGCAAAAGTCTTGACCGGTTTTTTATTTCTTGATTTTTTTTGGTATTTCTTGCCTTTCTGCATAAACTTTTTGGTTCTAATTTTATTTTTTTTTAGATGCCAGGACGATATCTATCAACGCCTGACAAAGAGAAAATTGTCGAGAATCGAACAAAAGGCGTTCGCGTGAAGAATGTGATGGAAACGTTCAAGTGTTCTGAAAAAACAGTGAGACGTCTCGTGGCGCAATTCAAATCAAAATGAAACGTTCATAGAGCCCAAAAAGAGGTCGACCATCAATTACAACACCAAATGAGGATCGTTCGATCATCAGGGAGCACCGAATAAACCCTAATCTAACGTCGAGCCATGGGATCAAGAAGTTGAAGGCTGTTTCTGGCAAGGATATTTCCCGATGGAGTCTCAATAGGCGATTGATTCGAGCTGAATTACATGCGAGAAGACCAGCGAAACGACCCTTGACGAATGCAAGAACTCGGAAGCCAAGATATGCTTTTGCAAAGAACTACGAGTTTTGGACTTCCGATGATTGGGCCCGAGTCATTTTCACCGATGAGACTAAAATTAATTTGTACTACCCGGACGGCAACCATTTAATCAGAAGGCCAATTGGACAACGTTATAAGCTCAAATACGTTAAACCAACGGTCAAATTCGGCGGTGGGAGCATTATGTTGTGGGGTAAGTGTTCGCCCTATTTTTTACTTACGATTTGTCTTTTTTAGGCTCGATGAATCGAAGTGTATCGGGACCGCTAGTGTTTATCGATGGAAATCTCGACGCTCAAAGGTACAAGTCAATCATAGAGAACAACTTACTTCCATTTGCAAACACGAGCATGCCACAAGGATGGGCCTTATATCAAGACAACGCTCCATGCCACAAAAGTCAGCTAATGATGGGCCGAGTTGTCCGGCTTGCAAATGGAGGAAGAGCTCGCCTACCCGGCTTTTTTGCTGCTCATCGTGTGGAATTGATCAAAGCACCTCCCTATTCGCCGGATCTGAACGTTATAGAGCATCTTTGGGCCCATTTAAAAGCCAAACTCAAGGGACGCCGGTTCAACTCAAAGGTCGATGCTTATTTCTTTATCAGAAATGTTTGGAGACAACTTTCTTTGGGAATTCTACGTGATTTGGTCGACTCGATACCTAGACGCATCAAGGCAGTCATTGTCGCAAAAGGAGGACCTACGAAGTATTGAATTTTCTTGTGTTTTCTTGTACCGGTCAAGACTTTTGCACCATGTTTTTTTGAGTCGTTTCGGAATATTGTCAAAATTTTTTGTTAAATAAAATGTTATTGCTTTCATTCTTTGGACTATAAAAGTAGAAGGTTTAAGCTATCCAAAAACGTTTTTACCATAAAATTTTAACGTTCTTTTTCTGACGAAATGGTTCAGACTTGATAGGACAGTGCGACCGGTCAGGACTTTTGCACCACAGTGTATTTTTAAACCCGTTTTAATGTTATTTTGCAGAAAAATAATTGCTTTTTCTAATGAAATCAACCGTAGTTTAATTCGTGCATTTGTTGGCTTGAAACGGCAGACGAAAAAAAATGAAAAAGACTTTTGCATCAACCTAATAGATCGACTAATTGCTAATCGGCTATGACATATACTATTTCAGCCTCTCCAACACCATCTCCCTCTTTGCCACCCACTCAAACTCCTCCTCCAAAAGCCTCAACACCTCGAGTCATAACCACACAAGGTACTCAACTTTAATCTATTTCTTTCTAATCTTTCTGACATTTTTTCGGACAGTTATATTGTGTTGTGTTACTAAATTTTGTTAATAATTTTTAGAAGCTCTTGAGACAACCGCTTGCTCTTGCGGCTAGCAGCTTTGGTCAAACAATTCTTAATAACACGTTCACTAGCAATAAACTTTCGATGCTAACTTTAGAAATGAAGAGAAAAAAAGAGTTTACAATGAAGAGCTATGCGTTTGGAGAAAATGGCTTAGAGGATCGATAAACTAACAAAATACCAAAAACAAATTCTATACTTGCAAACTATTCTCTCCAACTATCCTTAAAAATACCCTCCCTAAACTAGACATGATGGCGAACTCGTGGTGGTGATCTGAGCTCAAAGTTCGGAATCGAATCGGAATCGATCTACCGGTCAATCTATAGCTTGTACGGTAGATATTACTCTGGCTGGCTTCTTAGTTGTTTGCGAAAACGGTCGTCCGGCACAGCGAGCCACCACCGAAGTGTCTACGTTGCCTACATTGCTCGCAAACTGCTGACGTCCACCCGGCCAACAAGAAGAATCATTTATGACCAAAAAGAAAAACAATCTACTCCTTTATTGAGCCAAAAAAACGGCTCTCTGTCTCTGCGTTTGTTCCGGCTTGTGGTAAAGTGGTTAAGCTGAGCTCGGCGTCAAAGGTTTGACTCCTGAGATGGTCAAAATATTTGGTTAAATTTCAAAATTCATTTCAAGCGTCTCCAGATCTAGAAAAAGTTCTCCCAAGTGCAAAATCTCAATTACAAATGCAATAATATTGCATACAGTAGTGGCCAATGAAATATCAGATTTGAAAAACGATCATCACTTTCGCGCGCGCTGAAATGCGTCAAAAAATACGGTATTTCTAAATATTAATATTACCATTGTGTAGCCCTTGAAAAGAGCTTTCAGAAAATGTATCACACTAATAGTTTAAACTCAAAGACAACGGAGTTACAGACGTGCGAACGTGACGATTGTTTTTCAAATATGATATTTCATTGTCCAGTACTGTAGTTATCCAGTGTCCGTGCCAGATGATGCTCGATTTGGTGCGTGCTTAAAGGACAAACAGCAGAAAGATTCTTATTATCATAAATTTAGCTATATCCTTTTCTATAAATAGAGTCTTATTTGAGTGAGGAAAACTGGGGGTTTGGTTTCTTGAATGTTTTCTTGAATGTTCACGCCAGTACTGGCCAGCTTGTCTGAGATTTAAACGAGAAATGCATAAACTCTTACTGGTCACTGGCTTATTTAACCGGAATAATGGTAGCCTTTTGAAGCCTTTGAAGCCTTTGAAGCCTTTTGAAGCCTTTTGAAGACCACATTGGTTCTTGTAGATGACTTGATTGTAACTAAACTGATTTCCAGCCTTTCGATTCACTTCTTACCATGATGGCTTCTCCCAAACAAGTGGTACGACTTCCAGAGAGTCAGACGAAGCCAAGAACCAGTATAGGAGTTAGGTTAGAAGCCAGTCCAGGTCAGCTAAAAAGTCTGACTCCCGGCTACATCTTTTGTGGCCAGATCAAGCCCACTGTTTTGGAACTTCCCTCCTCCAAAAACTTGCTTTTGATCACTAAAACTAAATACCCAAATCTTTCTCACCTCTGAGAAAAAGTTATGGTTTAGTTTTTTTCTCTAAAATTCCTCCGAAAACGCTGCCATTTCATACTCCCAATACAAACTTTCAATGATAAGGAAAAGGTAAATATTAAAATGATTTTGAATAACATTTTGAATGTAAACACTGAATATCTTATTGTCTCAGGTTTGCATTCTTGATAATTGATAGTTTCAATGATTTACCCGATCCGTTGAGTTTGTTGAAAGATCGCCCGACCAAAGTCAATAGAATCTTGGGTTACAAACGAACAGAAAGCTAATGAAATAGCCAGTCGGTTAGATTTTTTTCAAAAAGAATTTGATCTTGACAAGAAAAGAAAAAAATTTTGACCCCTGAGTGACTCGAACACCCAACCTTTCGATCTGGAGTCGAACGCGCTACCATTGCGCCAAGGAGCCCTGCAGGAAGAGCGGCCAGATTTTGTTTTTATCGAGCCAGAAAAGCGATAAACTGTTTCAATCATTATTTCAAAATCATGTTTCAAGAGAATATTAGCTTGAAAGTTTCAAATTTCATCTAAATCTTTCACGAAATCTAATTAAAATGAAATGTTCGTTTTGTTTTGCCGTTTTGTTTTGGCGTTTTGCCCATGTTATGCACTGTGTTTCGAGTAGATTCCGAACTTTGAGCTCAGACCATTCCCTTCTTAGCTTTGTTTATATGTTTAAGATTTATTTGAATGTACAATACACAATCGTATTTTCACATTCCCGCCATCTCGGGAACGATTCGTCCTTTGTGATCGATTTGGATGACAAAACCGCCCATTTTCCCCAAATCTACATTTGAGAGGATGAGCTCCTTGCGGGCGATTCGAGAGGTTGAGGTGCCATCTGGAAAGCATTTTAGTACAATGTTTATAAGGTTACACTTACAAAACAAAGGTCAATCAATCTCACAAAAAGTCGAACTCTATTAGACTTGGACTATTAGTCTATTAGACAAGGGAATATCAACAAGTTGTGGTGACCAAATGACATGAGCCATAGACTAACCGATGTAGAATTTTGCGCTGATTCTGCTTGCCGGACTCGGACCCTAGGGTGCTTGTTTTGTATTCAAGCCTACTGCCATTCAGCCACCACGACATCTTTTCCGTTCTGGTAAGTCAACTATGTAAACTGGATAAACTCAGAAACTGTTTTCTGCACTTCCATAAAACTTTAAACGCTTATAACTCTTGACAGAGTGCTCCATATGAGAAACGGAAAGCAGATTCAAAATCAGCGTAAAATTCTACCTCTGTTAGTATATAGCTAAGATCATTTGTTAGTATATAGCTCATATCACCACATTCCTTTGTCAAAGTTCATAAGAAAATCAATCCGATGGGCATGAACATGAGTTTTCTTTGGCTGAGTGGCAGTAGGCTTGAATACGAAATAAGGACCCTAGGGTTCGAGCCCGGCAAAGCAGAATCAGCGCAAAATTCTAGGTCTGTTAGTATATAGCTCATGCTGTTTGTTTGTTTGAATATTTTCTTTTGTTTATAACTCACCATCATCCGCTTTGATGACAGTCACGAAAATTTTCTGTTTCGTTTTTTTCGAGTATGGTAGATACCATTTCATGTTCTGTCGATGCAGAAATGTGTAGCCGGGAGGAACAAATTTTCGATAGTACACTTTGTGATACCAATTCGTGCAAAACCATGGACCTGAAAAGTTTAAAACTCTTTATTTTGTAAACGCAGCCCTTCTGGTGCCACTTATTTGTCTTCTGATGATATTCGTAACTGATGGTGCACCAAGGAGATGTGTTTGCATCGAGTACAAAGTACATTTATTGCAAAAACCTTCTCTTTCCCTTATCGGTATCTCGACAGCCGTGTGCTCACCAACGTCCACTTTAATGTAAACAGCTTTCCCGTCGAGATTTCTAATCTCCACAGTTTGTCCCATTCGTTTCTCCCAGAGATCTGTAAATGAATTTTGTAATTGGTTAGTTAGTCAATAGTCAAGTTAGCCATTTTTTTAAACCATACAATTCTCAGGATATATCTCGAACCATCCATCGTGTAGATTCACTGAGCAACCGATTCTCAATGGATGATTCTCACATAAAGAAATCATGAACTCTAAAAATGAGAAAATTCATTAATTACCATGATAAATTACCTTATCAAAAAGCTTATTAACTACCAATAATCGCTATTTTACACTAAAAAACCGTACTTATAGTTGAACATTATCCATTGTTCTACTAATTTACAAACAACAATCTCTGTTCACTTGGATAGCGACCAGGAACAGCAATAGCTTGTTGTATATGTCGTAGCCGATTATGAATTTCGGCCGATTATGAATGATTCATAACCGGCTAGCCGATTATGAATGAAAGTAGCTTTTTCTAGAAATTTGGCGTCAAATCCAGATTACTATGTTGATATTTAATTGTTTAGTGCTGTTGTTGTCAAGGTAACTCCTGACGTTTTAACCACGTTTATTGAATGTAAACGAAAACATATTAACAAATTTTCTAGAGTTAAACAATAACGAAAAACATAACAACAATAACAATAACAAAATTAACAAGTCAAAAGATTAGAAAGGTTTACAAAATTCATCAAGAACTTGTAGTCACCGTCGGGCACCGATTGAAGGTCAACCAAATCGATTTGACATCGCTCATTTTGTTCTTTTGTCACAATTGGTTTTATAACAATTCCTTTCTTGGGTATACCCTTCTTCAGCTCGCATTCATCACAAAGCTTGACAAATATTTCAATAATCTCCTTTGAGATTCCATGATAGTCGCGAAGTTCCTTCCACATAATATCGCGTCCAGCGTGTCCTAGTCGTTTGTGAGTATCAATCAGTAGATTGAAGAGCTCCTCCTTCTTGACCACTCGCTTTGGTTGATTGTTTTGCCCGTGACTGTAGAGATTCACCCGGTCCTGTTCGTATCGAAGAGAGAAACGATTTAGCAAGTTGACATTGCGTGATGTTTTCTTCTTATCGGTTCCCTCGCTGAATTCTTTGATTTTCACAACGATTTCATTGTATTTGTCAGCAGACGGTATCAAAATCTTCTTTCTTTGAGATTGATATTGCGTGAAGGTTTCAGCAAATCAATCCTCCATCCTAAAAAGACAATTTAGTACGATGAAAATATAAAATACAAAAGTTAAAAATGTGAAAACGTGAAAACTTAAACTTTTTTCGAAAGTATAAAGCATGATTAACAAGTCGTAACTAGTGACGTATTAAGGTTCAAAACATTTAAATTCTGGGTCAAAATGGGAAAGTTGCCGATCCATACTCGAACTGGGGGAATTGGGGTTTTACCAACTACAACATAAAAAAATAATCTGCATTTGACGCCAAATTTCTAGAAAAAGCTACTTTCATTCATAATCGGCTAGCCGGTTATGAATGATTCATAATCGGCTAGCCGATTATGATTTTCGCTAGCGAAATCATTTGCTTCATAATCGGCTACGACATATATATTGGGTTGGTGAATTGAAAACCGCCGGCTATTCTCATATGTGACAGTTTGAGCACTTTCTTCAAAAGAAACCCATTTTGGTGTTAATGGAAAAGTTGTAGAGAATCAAAAATCAAGCTTATATCCAAATTTTTAGAACGATTCAAAAACTGGTTTTCAAGAAATGCCAAATTTACGAATTTTCACAAAACTTGCATTTTAAGCGAAACTACTAAGTGTATCTTTTTGGAAATTTGGCTATAAGCCTAATTTTTGATTCTCTACAACTTTTCTATTGACACCAAAATGGGTTTCTTTTAAAGAAAGTGCTCAAATGCTCAAACTGGGACATCTTCAGTCCTCCATTTTTGAGTCTCACACTTGTCTCACACACAAACCAGAATCCTATTACGAAAGAGAAAGCCGCAAATTGCCTGTAAAATGGGCAGAAGTCGTCAATAACAATGGAGATTATTTCGAATGAATTGATGGCTTTATGTTGAATAAATTTTAGTTCAAAGTCCCGCAGTTTTCAATTCATTCCCTATCGATCAAAAAAGTTTGTCGAAATCATGTAAAGCTGAGATTCCGAGTGTGACGGACAGACAGACGGACGGACACTTCTCTTTTATATATAGTAGATTAAGTTAATGGATTAAGGGTTCAAAGGCAAACGATGCTTTCGGTTAGAACTTAGCTTCTGGTTCCTTCCTTATGTTGAATAAATTTTAGTTCAAAGTCCAGCAGTTTTCAATTCACCAATCCAATAATTATCATGACAAATTACCTTATCAAAAAGCCTATTAACTAGCAATAATCGCTATTTTACACTAAGATACCGTACTTAATGTCGAACTTTATCCACTGTTCTACGAATTTACAAACAACAATCTCTGTTCACTGGGATAGCGACCAGGAACAGCAATAACTTTTTGTATATAGAATTATTATCTCTTTTTTAGAGATTATCCAATATATCGGAATATTTAGGAACAAGAAACGAACGAAAAACGAAAAAACGAACCCTCTTCTTGTCCATCTCGAATCAATCGATGCAATCGCTCCTTTTTTTGAAAAATCGTCAGGAAAGCTGTCTCGGAACCGGGAAAGAAAATCTGAAATCTAGATGTCGTAGCCGATTATGAATGAAATTTTTTGGCAAATCTTTCTAGTAGAGCAACCCTTTAATGCATGAGGACAATATTAAATCATTTTATAGCGAATTAAATTCTGCGTCGATTGGTATCATAATTTGTGTGTTTATGTTAAAAATTACGGGCGCTACAACGTCTCATCCAAAATCCGCGCAACCCCAAGAGCTGTTTCTGAATGTGTGGATCTAGGCGCGTTCAACAATCAAGTGTTTGATATCATTCGACGCAGGATTATGAATCTCAGCCGATTATGAATCTCAGCCGATTATGAATCTCAGCCGATTATGAATCTCAGCCGATTATGAATCTCAGCCGATTATGAATCTCAGCCGATTATGAATCTCAGCCGATTATGAATCTCAGCCGATTATGAATCTCAGCCGATTATGAATCTCAGCCGATTATGAATCTCAGCCGATTATGAATCTCAGCCGATTATGAATCTCAGCCGATTATGAATCTCAGCCGATTATGAATCTCAGCCGATTATGAATGAGTGGGTCTAGGAGCGTCCAACCATCAATTATTTGGTATCATTCAACGCAGAATCATTTATAAATTTTTTAAATTAGAAAGATTGGATCAAAGGAAAAAAATTAGAGCAAAAAAAACTGTTTGTTCGAGAGAAAACTTTGGAGTCCCGTAATTTTTTTTCTTTTTATCCAATCTTTCTAATTTAAAAAATTTAACATAATTATAAATGATTCTGCGTTGAATGATACTAAATAATTGATGGTTGGACGCTCCTAGACTCACTAATTCATAATCGGCTACGACATAGATATTTTTCTAGTTATCTAGATATCTAGAGATTTCTCTTTATTTAACAAAATACCCTTTTCTCTCCAGGATCGATTGTGGCTAAACAATTCGGAGAAGAGAGATATCTGTACATCTCGTAATCATCATCTTTTGAAAGGCCTGATCCAGAAACGGCTGTAACGAACAAGCTATCAAAAATTATATATAAAAGAGAAGCGTCCGTTCGTCTGTCTGTCTTTACGATCAATTTCTCAAGTCCCGTAGACCGATTTCCATGATTTTTAGTTTTTTATGCTTAGAATTCTATGTAGTTGTGCATCTCATATTTCGGTTTTTAAAAGACAAAACTCAAAACACAGCCGGAAGTCGAACCCGGGCCGTGTGAGCCGTAGACAAGCGCGCTCCTGACCGCGCTAGTTGAAAAGATAAAAATAGCGAGTTTACATACGAAAATTAGCAATTGAGTTATTTTGACATACTATATAAAAGAGTTCCCTGTCTCTACGAGCTTTTTCTCAGCCGTCTTTAGGCCAAAAAACTCTCGAAATATAATATTGTTATGGCATTTAAAATAAAAAGTAAAAACGTCAAGATTGAGTGGCACTACGGGGGGCGAGCCCGGATTGTGTGGGCCGTAGACAAGCGCACTTCCGATTGCGCCAAGGCGACAATAGGTCGCCACACGGGTTTTTCGGCTTCTTGATGTTAGAGTCCATACAAATTCCAGTCTTTTCATATATGTTAAGACAGAAATTTCAGCATTAAGACAATTTCTGAAGCGAAAAAAGATAAAGATGCTGGATTGCAGTGAGATTGATAAAGCGCATGTCTTGTGATTGACAAAGCTGATGTCATGACAATGACATGAGCTAACAGACGTAGAGTTTTGCGCTGATTCTGAATCTACTTTCCGTTTCTCCTATGGAGCACTCTGTCAAAAGCTATAAGCGCTCAAAGTTTTATGGAATCGCGATCGATGGATTGCAGTAAGACTTCAGCGTACCATTGACACTTACAATTAGGAATGTATAACATCATTTTTAGTCGAATTCAATAAAATCAAGATCACGTCTGACCGAATATCACTTTAGCTGTTCATTTACCCGAATTCAACTCCTCAACTGGTGCTCGAAACGTCGTAAAAGAAACGTCGACAAGAGCCGTTTTATGAGATTTATTGTGTACTTCGATTGCTCCCTGGAAATCGTTAATGCAATATTTTTTACAATTCTACAATGACTTAACTAGTAAACTATATTTATCAGATTTTAAGACACTTTTCTACATCCAAACTGTTGATCAATCGCAGAGGGGAACTCGGGTAAAGTTAGATCAACAATTGATCAACAATTGTTAATTGTTAACGACAGTTGTGGTGTAGTGGCTAGTGTGCTTGTCTACGAGTTCGATTCTTTTCGAATCTTCTCGTCATTTCGATTCCCCACAAATTTTTGCTTTCATTTCTCATTGATATTTTTGATTTTCACAGATTCTTATACATGTTTTCTTCTCTAATTATGATTAGAGTAATTTCCTTTCGTAAAAAAGCACACTAACCGCTACATCACCGTTGAAAGAGAAGCTCAAGAATGCCTAACATGAATGTTAATTTGCAAATTTCCATGGATAAAGTCTCGATTTTAGCTTTTTACTTGATTAGTTTACTAGATTTTAGCTTTTTTGTTACAGTAATTGTCATAAATTGCCAGAAATTCTCAGAAATTCTCACTTGAGCATAGAGACAATTCGGTGGCGGCAAATTTTTGGGTTTCTTTTGTACAAGGTGCTTGGCACAGCGGATGCCCATTTAAATGCAACAGAATCTAAAATTAAAATAAGAATAATAATAACAATAATATCATAATTGGAATTTTAAAGAGCACTTGAAACTCGGGTGAAATCACGAATTAAGAAAATGTGCCGAGAAAAATCGTTGGGGTTAAGAATTCGAAAAATTTTGTCAAAACACCCGATTAGCTGTAAAAGCCATAAAATAAAAGATATCTATTTTTGATTCAAATGATACGATGTTCAAACAATCCAGGGAAATGCTTTGTTCTGAACATTCACTTATCATGAAATGACTCATTTTCGGGGTTCAGCTTGATCAGCAAACGAATGAATCAAAACGAATTTGGAAAGGATTTTTGAAGCAAATAGGATTAGATACTTGTTGAGTAACTAAGAAAAAGTAATAAAGTAAAGAATGATAACTTTTGAAGTAAGATTTTTGGAGAGGGGATTGAACCGATCTTCTTGCTTTCGGGGAGTAGATGGCAACCACTATTGAGTTGGTGAATTGAAAACTGCGGGCTATCGTCATATGTGACAGTTTGAGCATTTTCTTCAAAAGAAACCCATTTTGGTGTCAAAGGAAAAGTTGTAGAGAATCAAAAATCAAGCTTATATCCAAATTTTCTGAACGATTCAAAAACTCCTTTTCAAGAAATGCCAAATTTACGAATTTTCACAAAACTTGTATTTTAAGCGAAACTACTCAGTGTATTTTTTTGGAAATTTGGCTATAAGTCCAATTTTTGATTCTCTACAACTTTTCTATTGACACCAAAATGGGTTTCTTTTGAAGAAAGTGCTCAAACTGGGACATCTCCAGTCCTCCATTTTTGAGTCTCACACTTGTCTCACACACAAACCAAAATCCTACTACGAAAGAGGAATCCGCAAATTGCTTATAAAATGGGCAGAAGTCATCAATAATAATGGAAATCATTTGGAATGAATTTATGGTTTTATTTTGAATAAATTTTAGCTCAAAGTCCCGCAGTTTTCAATTCACCAACCCAATATTATCTTTGTATCTTTTTACCAGAAAAGAGGAAAGAGAAAGGAAAGAGTTGTTTCTAATTTTTGTTACTTATTTAACTATTTATTAATTAATTAATAATTAATATTAATTACTTTAAATAATAAAGCAAAATTTATACTTCTAATGGTTGAAAAAGTGTAATTTCTCAATGAAATCTTCTTTTCAATGACTCAAAGCTTATGAAATGAACAAAAATGAATAAAATTCTGAAACAATACAGATTCTGTCTCCGAAAACTTTCATGACTCATCGAAAAGAATGATTTTATTTGCGGGAAATCAATTTCACGTGAATTCTATAGAAAAAGAGGCCAGGATTTGCATATTTTGAGTCAAAAGTCGATTTGGCGTTTCGTCTTTCTCCTAAGTTGAACTAAAATTTCCCCAAAGTTCAACTCATTGCCTAATTCGATTAGTTGAACACTCAAAGTGATCAATTTTAGTTCAAACCCAGAGATTTGCGAGGATTTTTCAGAGAAAATCTAACTGATCCAACTGATCAACTGAACAAAAATGAAAACACATTCTATCTAGTTGAAAAAGGTTGAAAAAGTGGGTTAATTTCTCAATGAAATCTTTTTTAATGGCTCAAAGCTTATGAAATGAACAAAAATGAATAAAATTCTGAACCAATACATCAATAGTGTATTGCATTTATCAAATTTCAATAAAAACCCAAGCATTTCTTAAAGAAAAACCGGAAAAACTTGTTTATTTCTAGTTTTTTGAGCAAAGTAAACTAGTGGAATTGTAATGAATTTTAGAAATTTTAAATTGGTGATATCTTTACAATGAAGTAAGCAAATTTTATCAAAACAATAATCTTAAATATATTGTTTTATTTATTAAATCTGTTAACACTCTCTTCAGCTAGTCAGCGACGATTTTTGAAAGGTTTAGATGAAATTTGGACGAATTGTTCTCGAGAATATGAAACGATTTTACATTTAAATCAAATAAATCTTGAACAAATAAACAAAGCTAATATAGATTAGAAAGGTTTAAATGAAATTTGGAACTTTCCAGCTAATTTCTCTTAAAACATGATTTTAAAATAATGATTGAAACAGTTTATCGCTTTTCTGGCTCAATAAAACCAAAATCTGGCTACCCCCTCTACATGGCTCCTTGGCGCAATGGTAGCGCGTTCGACTCCAGATCGAAAGGTTGGGTGTTCGAGTCACTCAGGGGTCAAGATTTTTTTGTTTTTTGCGACAAAGTTTTTAAAACTCATATATTCACGCAGGAAATTTTACGTTGTTGACAGACACTGCTTCTTCCGCTTTTTTCCAACTGATAAAGAACTTTTTGCTTTTGCGTTTTAAAAGTTTGACTTCTTTATACATTTATAATCGTTTTTCAACAAAAACATTATATCATTTGAATCTTTGTCTCCATAAAGTCAAAATCTGGCCATCCGTTCCGCATGGTTCCTTGGCCCAATGGTAGCGCGTTCGGCTCCAGATCGAAAGGTTGGATGTTCGAGTCCCTCAGGCGTCAAAATTTTTTTTTTTCTTCTTTCAAGATCAGATTCTTTTTTCAGGGTCAAACTGCCGATTTTTGACCGATACGAGATATTGATTATTGATAAGCGTTGAGAGAAACAAAGAAGATCGAAAAAGACGTAAAATTTGTTGTTTTTCTCATTTTACCATCAATATTTGCTTCTATTTAACTGGAAAAATGCCTGACGAATTCCCAGCTGATAGTTATTTGAAATTTCAAAAAAAAATGCCTGGAGCGGTTGGTTTTAAAACTGTTTAATCAGTTAGTTTTAAACCTGTTTAATCAGTTTATTCAAATGAAGCAGAACTTGAATACTAAATTGTTATTTGGTGAACTTTGTGCTTAAAATTCGTGATGAAAGCTTCATTTTTCTTCAAGAAACAAAAGGAATTGTGAGAAAGATCAAGGATTAGATCAAGATCAAGAATTAAGTGCATTAGAAAGAAGACGTTTACATTTTCGAGAGCAAAGTATGTTTTAATCTAGTTTTATTTGAGTTCACTGATTTCCCGACGACAGATTATTTGAAGACGCAGAAAACCCGACCGGGACCAGTTCGTACTTTCCATTTTTGTTTTTAGCAAATTGCATGCAAATTTTAGACCTATGTGATACAACCGTCGATCAAAATGTGTTTTGATGATGGAAAGTTGGCTGTTGGGAAACGGGTTTTCGATGCGGGTTGTGGACGGGGTGAGGGCTTAACTCTTCTAAAGATTTCTCAATATTTATCAAAACTTTTGAGCGTCTGTTTGAGTTGAGTCGTTGAGCGTCATAAGTCTGTTTCCTTTTTAGCATTAAAACTGGGCAAAATGAGCTCTAAACAATCTTTCAGTCCACTCAAAATTGATTTATGAAATAGCCAACCAAAGAATTTCTGAGAGAAGGGAATCCGTGCTCTACCAAATAAATGGCAACTAGTTATGCTTAAGAATGGGGCATACCTTGAATAAATTAATATTTTCTCTCTTTGCGCCGTTTTGATAAGTGAGGTCGTGGCCTAGTGGAAAATTGGCTGTTGGGAAACAGGTTTTCGATGCAGGTTGTGGACGGGGTGAGGGCTTAACTCTTCTAAAGATTTCTCAATATTTATCGGAACTTTTGAGCTCGCAGATCTTTTAGCTCACTCAACTCAGCTCACTTTCAGCTCACTTATGAAACCAAAGAAGTCAAAGAATTTCTCAGAGAAGGGAATCCGTGCTCAGCCAAATATTTCCTCTCTTTACGCCGTTTTGATAAGTGAGGTCGTGGCCTAGTGGATCGTGCGTTTGTCCGCGAAAGTTTTATGTTGGATTGAATTCCCGTAATTGCAACTTTTTGCTTTTGCGTTTTAAAAGTTCAGCCAGATCTTTCAGCTCACTCAAAATTGATTTATGAAACAGCCAGCCAAAGAATTTCTGAGAGACGGGAATCCGTACTCTACCAAATATCTAAATCTACTAAATGGCAACAAGTTATGCTTAATAATGGCGCGTACCTTGAATAAATTTGCTTTCTAGTTTTTGTGAAAAATTACAGACCTTTTCCGAGGTCCGAAAACTTTCTTTCCAACCTAATATTTTCTCTCTTTACGCCGTTTTGATAAGTGAGATCTTGTGCGATAGTGTGCTTATCCGCGAAACTTTTCCTCTGTTCAATTCCCGTACTTGCAACTTTTTGCTTTTGCTGCTTTTGCGTTTGAAAAGTTTGACGTCTTGATGCATTTATAAACGTTTTTTGAACAAAAAAAATTATATCATTTGAGTATTTGTCTCGATAAAATCAAAATCTGGCCCCGTTTCCACGTGGCTCCTTGGCGCAATGGTAGCGCGTTCGACTCCAGATCGAAAGGTTGGGTGTTCGAGTCACTCAGGGGTCAAAAATTTTTCTTTTCTTTTCAAGATCAGATTTTTTTGGAAAAAATCTAACCGGCTAAGGTCTTGGTCTTGATAAGTGAGGTCTTGGTCTAGTGGATAGTGCGCTTGTCCGCGAAAGTTTTGTGTTGGGTTCAATTCCCGTACTTGCAACTTTTTGCTTTTGCTGCTTTTACGTTTTAAAAGTTTGACTTCTTTATACATTTATAATCGTTTTTTGAACAAAAACTATAGCATTTGAATATTTGTCTCCATAAAGTCAAAATTTGGCCCTCTTTTCCGCATGACTCCTTGGCGCAATGGTAGCGCGTTCGACTCCAGATCGCACTAGTGGATAGTGCGCTTGTTCGCGCTACCAGAAACTTTCTTTCCAACCTAATTATTTCTCTCTTTACGCCGTTTTGATAAGTGTGGCCTAGTGGAAAGTGGCCTGGTGGGGGGGGTGGTTTTTTTTTTGGGGGGGGGGGGGGGGGGGGGGTTCTCCCCCAAAAAAATTTTTAAAATTTTTTTTTCCCTTTTGAGCCCCAAATCCTTTCCCCCAAAAAAAAAATTTTTTTTTAAAAAAAATCCGCAAAAAAACCCCTTTTAAAGGGTTTAAATAAAGTTTAATTTTACAGTTTAATAAATTTGCTATTTCAAAATCGATTCATTGGAAATTGATCGCGAAATTTTATTGAAAAGAGTCAGGTTCTAGTTATTTTTGTTTAATGAAAAGAAAGTTATCATTATTTAACATTTTTTTGGAAGCTATGAGACATTAAAAATGTTAAAATCACATTTCAGTTTTGATTTTTCCAAGAAAACTTAACGAGAGTCTGTGAGAAACTCAACTTTTCCCAGTAGCCACTTTCCACAAGTGTTTCTGGGCAAGCAAAAAGCAATAATTTTGAAAAAAAGTAACTTAAACTTGTTAACGTTGAGCGTATTGATAAGTCTGTTTCCTTTTTAGCATTTAACTTGGACAAAATGAGCTCTAAACAGCAATCTATTGTTTCCGATAAATATTGAACATCTGATCTACTTAAGTAACAAGTTTAGGTTGAAAATTTTTACTACCTTTTGAAGAACTGATAGTCAGAACTAATTTAGAAACGGTTTTCATAGAATCCTTTTAGGCTTCCATACAAAAAGATTCCTGGAATGGGGTGCTTCGTTCATTTTTGGAATCGACAATTCAGTGGAGATGATTGATGAAGCGAAGGAGTACTTGCCCAGTAGGTTGATCTAAAAAGTAATTCCGGATCAGATCAGATCAGGCAAGGCCAAAGCCAAGTCCAAGCCAGGGCCAAACCAGGCTCAAGTCAGACCCAAGCCAGGTCCAAGCCAGGTCCAATGCAAATCCAACCCAGGTCCAAGCCAGGTCAGGCTTGATCACAAAAGCAACTGGGTCTGGCTATTGACTTTGGCTGGCCTTACCAATAAGAAGTCGCTGGATCTGCCAGAATCCAGATCTGGACTTGACTTATGATCCTACCTTGCCTGGCTGATGGTCCAGCCCAATTAGAGCACTTTTCCAGTAAACCAAAGCTATCATTGATTTTTCACACTTCTAGAAACCCCCAACGTCCACCTCGAGGTCCAATCAATCGTTGATTTGAAAATCCCTTCTGATATTGAAAAATTCGATGTGGTTACCTCAATCTTTGTTCTCCATTTTATCAATAAAAGAGAGGATTTGAGAAAGGTTGGGATATGCTTTTTCTAAAAACCGAAGTTTTAGGCAATTCACAACTTGAGTTGTCTTCTAAAAAGTGGAGGCACATTGATCGCCTGCTTTCCTAATTTTGAGGCTGGCTTTGAATGGCCAAGGGATGAGGCTTTAAAATTTGGTGAGATTTGAGAAAAATGGCTTTATGCAATATTGGATTAAATCCAATATTACATAAATTTTCTGAATTTTTGTACAACAAAACCCATCAGGAATTGGTATGTCTTTTGATGAAAGTGCCGGTTTCAAGGATGGTTTAGCAGCAAAGATCAACATTTATCAAGGAAATGGTAGGTGCCAGTGATCGAAAATCTTTGTATAACTTAGGCAACAATTGCAAAAGAAGAACATTACTTTAACTTCTACAGTAATCAATCGTTATTTAATACTGTAATATTTGAAGTAGAATGGTTTCCCCTCAACAGTATCAAATTTAGACAAAATACCGTACTTAAACCGCTAGTTTTCATTCAATTAGACCAATTTCACAAACTAAAACCTGCTGCCAAGCTTCATAATGTTAGCAATTGGATTGGAAAGCAATTGTAAAACGATAAAGATAAAGAAGCAGGAGAGCTGGTCTTTAGTTAGCCAGTACTTTTGGTGTACTTATCGTACTGATACTGCCAGTACTTTTTGTGTACTTATTGTACATATAGTTAACCAGTACTTTTGGTGTACTTATCGTACTTATAGTTAGCCAGTACTTTCGGTGTACTTGTACTTATCGTACCTATAGTTAGCCAGTACTTTTGATGTACTTATCGTACTTATAGTTAACCAGTCCTTATCGTTAGCCAAAGCCTTAGCCTAGTCCCAGTTTAACACTACAAAAATTCTCATTTCCAAGCAGATTCAATACTTTTTATTTCAGAAATCAAAGTCTCAATGGGCGCCTACTTGTGGCTGCGGTCAACATATCAAGAATTCCTGGAAGAAGCCGGTTTTGAGAAGGTTTCCTTTTCAAATTTCTTAATCCTGGAAAAAATGAACGATTGTTAAAACCCTGAATGCTAATTTGAAACCAAAAAACCTTACATTTAAACTCAAGTCAATTTCCAGATCGATTTTCTCTCTCCAATCGTCTCCGAAGAGGGTAAAAATGAGTTCGGTGCGGAGTTTTTCCACAATTTGCTCAATCCACCAAAAGATATTTTTGTAAAAGCTGTGAAAAAATGAAAATTTATTTGTAAAACAAGAAAAAGCATACGAGAATGGTCAGGAAAATACAAAATTTCTACCTAAAATGAAAAAAAAAACGGGAAAAATTGATAATAGATGTTCAAGAATGATATGAAAATATTATATTTAACTTAAAAATTAAGAAAACTAGTAGATTATTCGGTATTTTGTTCACCCAATTTGGTTTAAACAAGAAGTCGATGGATCTGTCAGATCTGGACTTGACTTATGATCCTACCTTGCCAGGACAGAAGCCAGGTCCAAGCCAGGCTCAAGTCAAACCCAAGCCAGGTCCAAGCCAGGTCCAAGCCAGGTCCAAGCCAGGTCCAATGCAAGTCCAACCCAGGTCCAAGCCAGGTCAGGCTTGATCACCAAAGCAACTGGGTCTGGCTATTGGCTTTGGCTGGCCTTACCAATAAGAAGTCGCTGGATCTGCCAGAATCCAGGTCTGGACTTGACTTATGATCCTACCTTGCCTGGCTGATGGTCCAGCCCAATTAGAGCCCTTTTCCAGTAAACCAAAGCTATCATTGATTTTTCACACTTCTAGAAACTCCAAACGTCCACCTCGAGGTCCAATCAATCGTTGATTTGGAAATCCCTTCTGATCTTGAAAGATTCGATGTAGTCACCTCATTCTTCAAAAAAAAACGAGAAAAATTGATGATAGATGTTCAAGAATGATATGAAAATATGATATTTAACTTAAAAATTAAGAAAACTCGTATATTATTCGTTATTTTGTTTACCCAATTTGGCTTAAACAACGCTCGAACTGAAATCGGAGATGGAATTGACAAAAATTGAACTGAAAAGAAAAGGAAATTGCCCTGAGATGGGAAAAGAATTGAAAATTGAAAAAAGAAAAGGAAAAGGAAATTGCCCTGAGATGGGACTGAACTGGCGATCAATAGACAGCTGAAGCTCTTCAGCCTAACGCTCTCCCACTAAGCTATTGAGGCACGCAAGCTAGCTTGGCAAAGTTACCATAAATAGGATCAAGCTGTAAGTCTTGGGCTTGACTTGTTCAAGAAAAATCACCTTTAGAATAATCCTGAGCAAGGGAACAGGTCAAGGAGTGTTTCTAACAATGAATCATTGATAGATAGCTCAAGGATTCGGCAAAAACGCTGCCGAATCACATTGTGATCTTTGTTCGGCTTTTGGAGAACAGATTATGACCGAAAAATCCTGCCAATTCTGGTTTACCAATCGATTCCGAGAAGGTATTGAATCTCTTGAAGACGAACCACATAGGGACATGGAGATTTGGGTGACCGACTACTTTCAATCACAGAATCAAGAGTTCTTCGATAAGGGGATTTGCAATCTGAAGCAACATTGGAGGGATTTTATAGACAACGATGGTGCTTATTGTTTCGAATAAATTCTTACCTAAAGAATTTTGGTTAGACTTTGATTTTAAAAAACGAAAATTCTTTTGCATCAACCTAGTATATGTCTAGCTGGCACTTTGACGTTTAAATCTTTATTAACCCTATAGATTCAAGTATCAGTGAATCATAGGCACATGGAGATTTGAGTGACACACCCAAATGATTAAATAGATGATGATATTGAATCTCTTGAAGACGAACCACATAGGGACATGGAGATTTGAGTGACCGACTACTTTCAATCACAGAATCAAGAGTTCTTCGATGAGGAGATCCGCAATCTGAAGCAACATTGGAGGGATTTTATAGACAACGATGGTGCTTATTGTTTCGAATAAATTCTTACCTAAAGAATTTTGTTTAGACTTTGATTTTGAAAAACAAAAACTCTTTTGCATCAATCTAGTGCAGTGTAATATTTTAATGATCACTTTCATTGAACCTGATAAAATAAGATGCAGTAACGGTAGTTGTATAGATTTCGGTGACACCCAAATGATTAAATAGATGATGATATTGAGTCTCTTGAAGACGAACCACATAGGGACATGGAGATTTGGATGACCGACTACTTTCAATCACAGAATCAAGAGTTCTTCGATGAGGAGATCCGCAATCTGAAGCAACATTGGAGGGATTTTATAGACAACGATGGTGCTTATTGTTTCAAATAAATTGTTACCTAAAGGAATTTTGATTAGACTTTGATTTTAAAACGCGAAAATTCTTTTACTTCAACCTAGTATTTCTGGTTTAAAGTCGAATGACGCATCTGATTTATTCACAATGATAGCCTCCAATCACGAAGTATCAAAAGACAAAAGGAAATAGTTCTCTCCACGACGACAAGTGGCCCGCCATGTGTTGCCATCTCTTAACACGATCCTCATCTCGTAGACCATCAAATGTTTTTCCCAGGTGATCAGATTGTGATCGATCTCGGGAATCTCCTCTTCGACGTGTTTTGTTAAGACTTTGAAGAGCAACTCTTGGTCGTTGCCTGGTCCATCTGAATTAAAAAAGTGAAAAAAATTGTATTTTTCTTGAATATTTTAATGAAAGGGCAGTGAGAGTTGCAAATTAAACCTTTTTCGAAAGCTTTGAATACGAGAGAAGTAGAGTTTGGGAAATGATTCGAGATTTTATTAAATTGTAGCTTTTTTGCTTTTGCAATGCATGCATGCAATTTTTTTGGTTTTAAAAAACGTTGAACTAAAATGGGAAGAATATTTTCAAATTTTGAACTTTATTAGATAAAAATTTAAAATCTAGAATTTTCGGTTTAATTAGAGTCGCTAATAGATCGGTTTTTTTACAATTAGTAAATAAAAGTGTTCAATGAAATAGTGGAAATCTACAGTATTCCTTGAAAGAATACAGTTACAGTAGAGCTTTTTGTTCAGCTACTTTTAGGGTAGTGTACTGAAAAGCGTTGGGCACTGGAATGAGGTATTAAAATGTAAATTTCACAAATATTTGCTTATTTTTCATTATCCTGGAACGCATGTAAAGTAAATTTTACGAAAAAAATTTCAAAAAATCAGTTATTGGGTTTTCCAGTTATGAATGCGCGTTTTTACTATTTTGTAAATTTCTCAAGATATCGAACAGATGTATATCAGTGTTATACAGTGGTCCACAAATGTATTGTCCCATTGCCATCCAAAAGTTTCTTTCGCACGAAAATCTTGCAAAATAACGATATTCCCAAATAGTGTAGGGTATTTTGCTTACCCATAATACTCTACTTTTCAGGATTATAAGATTTATCCGTATACATTGCAGAAAAATTAAAGTATAAAACAAAAACAATAAGTTACTTAACAAATAGCTCCACAAAAGTAATGTCCCATTTGCAAAGAATTAACAATTTTTTCAAAAAATTAATATTTGGTTGGTCCTCCTTTTGCTTTTATCGCTTCATTGAGTCGATCCGGCATGGAGTCCACGAGATTTTTCAAAAGACTTGGGCGGATGGTGGCCCAAAGACGTTGAATGTGAATCCATAAGGCGGCCTTCGAATCGAATTCCTTTCCCTTGAGGCGCGACTTCACAAATGACCACAAATGTTCAATTGTATTGAGATCCGGTGAGTAGGGAGGTGGATTGATCAATTTAACACGATTTGCCGAAAACCATCCGGGCAGACGAGCTCTGGTACCATTTTGAAGTGTCACCAACCGTCCCATCATCAGTCTCGACTTGTGTTTCGGGTCGTTGTCCTGGTAAAGCATCCATCCGGGAGGCATCGTTTGATTGGCAAAGGGAAGCATTTGGGTCTCCATAATATTCTTGTAAGCCACAGCATTCATCGTTGAGTTGACGTGAACTAATGGACCTACTGAAGTTCGTGACATCGCTCCTAAAGAAAAACAGTCAGGTGACAAAATACTAAAAAGGCTCTTACCCCAACACATTATGTTTCCACCATTGAATTTCACGTTAGGCCGAATGTACTTGAGTGCGTATCGCTTTCCAGTTGGTCGCCGAATAAGATGGTTTCCATCCGCGTGAAATAAATTGATTTTTGTCTCATCGGTAAATAATACTTTCGCCCAATCACGTGTCGTCCAACTTCGGTAGGTCCGTGCAAAGTCAAGGCGCTGCTTCCGGTGCTTAGAATTTGTCAGAGGTTTACGGGCAGCCCTTCTTGCATATAATCCAGCTTGATTTAATCGTCGTCTGATCGTTTCCGGCGATACAACCTTGTTAAATTGATCCCTCATCATTTGGCTTCCATCGGTTGGTGTTTTGTTAGGATCGCTTTTCACCATTTGGATGACGGCTCAATCTTCTTTTGTGGTTGTGATTGGTCGTCGGCCACTCTTGAGGCCTCGATGAAGGTTTCGGTAGACTTTTGATTGAGAAAGAATGCGGCGCACCGTCCTTATCGAGCAATTGAAGAGGTTGGCCACATCCTTTTCCCGCATCCCATTTTCCCGGGCCTTGGCGATTCGGAGCTTCTTCGGAGTGTCAAGGTTTTTCTTGCCAGTCATCTAAATAATAAAATAAAATACATTTAATGTTCATAGAAAGCGAAAATAAAAAGGATAATCAAGGAAAACATCAATGGGACATTACTTTTGTGGAGCTATTTGTTAAGTAACTTATTGTTTTTGTTTTATACTTTAATTTTTCTGCAATGTATACGGATAAATCTTATAATCCTGAAAAGTAGAGTATTATGGGTAAGCAAAATACCCTACACTATTTGGGAATATCGTTATTTTGCAAGATTTTCGTGCGAAAGAAACTTTTGGATGGCAATGGGACAATACATTTGTGGACCACTGTATATCATTCACAAGCTGAAGATCTCCTCTACCATTGCAGCTTAGCTATTCCTCAAGTTTTATGGTGTAAAATAATGATAAGAATGATTAAAATCGACTTGGAACCATCAAAATCCCTGCCAAGATTGTTACAAAAAGCTAAACCTATAGCCAGTTAGGTCAAAAATGACCTTATCTGGCTTCTGGATAAATTAGAAGTCGACTCTGGATGTCGTGCTATTCATTGCTCACTTTTGAAAGCAAAATTCAAGACAGGTCAAGCTCTACAGCTTGAGTTGGCCTGATAGAATTGGTCCAAGGACCTAGACTCGAATATAGTCTTTTATAAATTCTCAAGATATCAAACAGATGTATATGAGTGTTATTTATCATTCGAAAGCTGAAGATCTCCTCTACATTTTGGAATAAAAAAGTTTTTGAATTCATTCAACTTTTTGGGAAATTGACTCTGCACAAAGGGAGAGGTCGTTTTCGAAAAAAATTGATTCCAGCTTAGCTATTCAAGTTTTATGGTGCAAAATAACCATCCAGAAAAGAAAAGAAAAGTAAAGATGCTCTGAAATTATTGTATTTTTAAAAATATTGTATTGATATATCTATTGGCCAAACATCAAACGGTTAACTCAATTTGAGCGGAGCCAAAACTTGATCCAAAGGCACCCTTCCATTTTTTGGCCACATCTTCTTCTGTGCAGTCGATTTGCCCAAAAGCCGAACAAATTCAAAAACTTTTTATATCAAAATGTAGAGGAGATCTTCAGCTTTCGAATAATACTCATATATATCTTTTTCTTGATTTCGGTATCTTGAGAAATTAACAAACGAGTAAAAAACGCGCATTCATAACTGGACAACCCAATAGATCGATTTTTTTTCTACAAAAAGCAAGAAAAAGCTCTGAAAAATTAGATTTAGGCTTTTAACTTAATCAATCTTAGACTGATCAATAGAAAATAGATCAATACACAGCCATTTGATTAATAAGAACGCTGAGAAACGATTAGGACTAAATCTCAGACTGAGAACAAGCCAAAGTTATCTTTTAATGAAAGTTCTTAAGAAAATGATTTGAATTTGATTTAAAAACGTGTTTAAAGATGATGAAAATATTCATTTTTGTTTGAAAATACTGAAGAATCATTTTCGAAACTCGAGTGCACCAGAATTCAATAAAAAATAGCACTAATCCTGTAGACTTTAGTTTAAAAAACTCACTGAAAAAGTACTGCAATTGTTGAAGGTCTAAATCGGCATCGAGATCTTTTTCCAGGACATCCAAATGCTCTCGATAGAAATCGACGTTCACTTCAACGATCACATTGATCATTTTGAGAGCATCTTCCAAATAGATCTCTTCAATCGTTGGTTCGTCGGGCAACTGTTCCCCAGGGTTTAAAACGGATCGATCGAATTCCTCTCTTGTGTCAAATGTGGGGATGGGAATCTTTTGAATGGACATTTCCCAATCTCCAGCTCCAGTTACTATCAGTTTTTCCGTTCTCTCAGCATCTCCGAAAAATACTCCACTGCATTCGGCAGAGAAAACGGTGGTCATATCTCTCCAAACGAATTTCCCCTCGGCAATTCGTGCTTTCAACGAGAGTTCCTGGGTTCTTTTCTTCTTGATGACTTTCGATTTGTGAAACATGATGAAAAATTAATAAATTCAATAGTGAATATAGATATTTTGTAAAGTAAAAAATTCAATTATGAAAGAAAATATTGATCTAACAAAAGGTTAGTCCCAAAAGGGATTTCGCAATTTCTCTGTCGCGTTTCTCTGTCGCGTTTCCATGGCCTCTCTATTCCTCCCTGTTATCTTTTCCCCTTCCCCACTTTCGATTGTTGTTTCCCATACTTGTTGTTCTCCACGTCATCTCACTCTTTTGCTGAATACAGCTACTTTAGATCTTCCAAAAATCTGAGTCACCTTATGTTGTACGAGTTTAAAAAAGGATCTTCTTTGTCGTTGGTCCAGAATATTGGGGTTGACCAATAAGTCACATGAAAGAAAGGAAATTTTAGTTTAGTTTAGTTGCCTCTCAGTGTTTACCAATAAAAGAAACAACATTATTATTCTGGACCAACGACAAAGAAGATCCTTTTTTAAACTCGGACAACAGTGGAAGATGTCCTAGTGGAAGATCTGAAGCAAAAGGAAGGCGAAGGCGTGTATGGCAATGTCACTCCTTCTCAAAACACAATTCATCGTTGTTTTGTCAAGTTCAGAAATTCAGAAAGTCCATTTTTTCATGGCTTCTCTTTTCCTCCCTGTTCTCTTTGCCGCTTTCGATTGCTACTTGTTGTTCTCCGCGTCATTTCACTCTTTTGCTGAATACAGCTACTTTAGATCTTCCACTAGAACATCTGAGACACCTTATGTTGTACGAGTTTAAAAAAAGGATCTTCTTTGTCGTTAGTCCAGAATAATAATGTTGTTTCTTTTATTGGTAAACACTGAGAACCAACTAAACTAAACTAAAATTTCCCTTCTTTCACGTGACTTATTGGTCAAGCCAATATTCCGGGCCACCGACAAAGAAGATCCTTTTTATCCTTGGAAGATCTGAAGTAGCTGTATTCAGCAAAAGAGTGAAATGACGTGGAGAACAACAAGTAGCAATCGAAAGTGGAAAAATGGGCAAAGAGAACAGGGAGGAAAAGAGAGGCCATGGAAACATGGACTTTCTGAATTTCTGAACTTGGTAAAACAAGGTTGAATTGTGTTTTGAGAAGGAGTGTCTGTCGCCTTCCTTTTGTTTTGTTATATTGAATAGTTACAAGATAAAGTATTACATCTAAAGAAAAAAACCAAAAACCAAGAGCGAGACCGAACCATGATCTACCGAGAGGCCACCACGCTATCCACTAGGCCATCGCTGCCTATATCCCAGTGATTGAAAATCGACCTTTGAGGCTTCGATTCCATTTTCTTCAATTTAAAGTCCTTTAAAGCTTCGAAATTTCAATTGAATTTTTACCCGTCTGCAAGCTTATTTGGGGGATTTTGTTTTCAGATTATGAATCTCTATACTCGATTTAGTAATATGTACACTACTGGACAATGAAATATCATATTTGAAAAAAGATCGTCACTTTCGCGCGTCTGTAACTCCCTTCTCTTTACCGTATTTCTAAATATTAATATTACCATTGTGTAGCCCTTGAAAAGAGCTTTCAGAAAATGTATAACACTAATATTTTAAACTCAAAGACAAGGGAGTTACAGACACGCGAAAGTGACGATCGTTTTTCAAATATCATATTTCATTGTCCAGTACTGTATGTAGTCCGGAAACGAAAGCTCAGTCGGATCCGGTTGCGAAATCCGAAAATCGGATCCGGCTTTATCTTTGCTAAACCTTTAAGAACACTTTTTATTGATTTTAGAATGTCCAATAATAGTTTTTTAAGAATAAATGACACTCAAAAACTCAAAAAGTCCGGAAACGAAAGCTCACGGGAATTTCGTGCTTTTTCCCAGTTATTGTTGAGCCATAAGTAGATAAAACCAAAAAGATCCAAGTAAGATGTAAGTAAGACTTTAGTAAGACTTTAGTAAGTTGTATGTAGTCCGGAATGAAAAGCTCAAGAGGAAGTTCATGCTTCTCCCTAGTTAGAAGCGAAGAAGCCAAATCAAGGGTGAGAAAATGAACAGATACTTTGCGATTCAAAGTCATTCAGCAAAATTTAGAAGCCCGATTCGAAATCAGCATCAAAAATTGAAACGAATAGTCTTTTCTATCCTTTAAAATCCTATCTTAACTTCAGCTTTTTCCTTTTTTTTGCTTTTATTCTTAATTTGTACACAAATTTTTTCAATAATTATAATCTTTTAAAAAGAAACTTCTAAAAGAAACGAAATTCTTCAAAATATCATTTATTGAAGATAATTGTAATATTTGACATTTGTTTTCGATTGTTGAATGACCTAAACAATTGAATTGTTTTTTTTGGACGTCAATCCGCTTACAGAAGTTTTTTTGTATATTCCCAGTATGGCTCGGTGAAGAGACAAATCAAAATTGAACCAAACATTCCGTGTATTGCAATGACGGCTAAATTGATGTTGTTCACCAATTGTTGAACAATAATATCGCCTAAAACGACAAACACAAAAAAGACCATTGGAAAGACGATAGTGAGGAATGGAGCAAGAATCTGTAAAAATGAATAGCTTAATTTCGTTATCAAATTCGACTTTCTGTGCTTTGATTTTTGTTTATAAGAGGTTTAAAGATTAGCTTTAAAGATAGCTTTAGAGATTAGCTTTAAAGATAGATTTAAAGATAGTTTTAAAGATAGATTTAAAGATAGATTTAAAGATAGATTTAAAGATAGCTTTATAGATAGCTTTCAAGATAGCTTTCAAGATAGCTTTCAAGAATAGCTTTAAAGATAGCTTTAAAGATAGCTTTAAAGATAGCTTTAAAGATAGCTTTATAGATAGCTTTATAGATAGCTTTAAAGATGACTTTAAAAATTAGCTTTAAAGATTAGCTTTAAAGATTAGCGTCTAATGAAGGACACCAATTGGGAATACTAAAACTAGTAAATAACTTAGTAAATAAACCGAACTACCTTCATTAGATGGAATAGATGCCATGAATGACCTAAAAATCACCTAAAATTCAACTTTTCTCATTCAATTGCCAGCCTAAGGCACCCTTTTCACCTTTTACTTTCACTTGACATAAGTGAAGACTGAAGTTACAGTTAGATTAATTAGCTTATTGTTAATCTGATCAGGGTTCTCACAAGGGAATGATCCGAAATGGCCGAGCCGCTACGCCCCTGAAGGGCAAACGCTTATCGAGCATCGGCAATTTTTACTTGGACTCGTTCTTTATCATTAACGATCATTAGAAATAATCACTGACAAGGGCATTTTCCGAACTGGGCGGCCGATTTCGCTACGCTCCTGAAGGGCAAACACCTATCGAGCATGAGGAACACGATGCTCTATTTATTTTTTGCCCATTCTTAATGGTTCACAAGAAAAATCGTGTTCCCCTTGCTCGATAGGCGTTTGTCCTTCAGCGTCGTAGCGAAAACTGCCGCCCAGTTCGGAAAATGCCCTTGTCAATGATTATTTCTAATGATCGTTAATGATAAAGAACGAGTCCAAGTAAAAACTGAGCAACAGGTTCTCATCAAACCTGAATAAAAAGAGAAACACAGAGTTTCTTGTGAAGTTGCCGAGTCTTTGCACTCATGTAGTGGAGTGACGTATTCAATAGGTGAAATGAATGCCAAATGAGTAAGGATCCCTAAACAAATTCAAACATTCTAATTCGCTCAATTTCACAACCAAAAGTGACATTTCAATGAAAATTTCGACTACTACCACTTCGCATCCATTCATTGCATTGAAATTGGGAAAACGAGAGAAAAGTGGAATCGACACATCGGCTATCCAAGCGTTCGTATCTCTTGTCACAAATGCATGCTGGGGATAGCTCTGAAACTGAAAGTATATTGCATTTTTAGTCTAAATTATTATTGAACCAGTCGAAAAACTCGCCGTTAGACGGGTTTTTTCGGCCGTGTTTTCGCTGGTGTTTTAGGGCTAACGCATAGTTTGATCTCTGAATTTAAAGGCTCCAAGATCCCTCTAACAATATTGGATCTACATCTTAATCCCTCAAAGCAATATCGGAACCAACCCTGGCACCATCCGAAGCACCACCGACATCTATACTGGGGCGCTCCAACGTTGCGCCGAGCGCCCCTCCGAGATCCCTGTTACAATACTTTCACTGCGAAGCAACTCAAATTTACATACTTCAGCTCCATGCTTGAAGAAATAAAACAAAAAAAGAGGAATCGAACCCAACACTTCCTTAAGCTTAAGAGGCAATCGTTTGGTAGACGGGAGGCTAATCCCCTCGACCATCCTCCCCCCTCCAAAGCTCCGCCGAAAATAAAAAAAGCCATAGCTAAGTGGTTTCTCTGATTTTTTACGGTTTTAGATGAAAACCTATGAAAACTATGAAAAACGATGAAGTATGTACCTATTCATTTTTAATTCACTATCGATCAAAAAAATGTTTGTCGAAATCGGTTCATGTGGAGCTGAGATCCCGAGTGTGACGGACGGACAGACAGACGGACACTTCTCTATTATTAGGTTGGCAACTTAATAATGACGCGTTTATGTAACAAATCATTTATTTCAAAAAAACACAAAAGAAGAGCTTTCAATTCGAAAGGTATTCTCCATTAGTATCTATGACTTCTTCCCATCTTCTGCGCAAATCCCGGATTCCATCCTCGAAGAACTTGGGAGTTTTTGAGGCGAAGTAGTCATTCACTGCTTTTATGACCTGAGCATGATCATCGAACTTTTCTCCCTCTAAAAAGTGCTTCAGCGACCGAAACAAAAAGTAATTTGAAGAAACCAGATCAGGTGAATAAGACGCGTGGGGCAAAACTTTCCAGCCAAGTTTCTCGATTTTCTTATAAGTGATCTTTGCAGTGTGAGGTTTTGCGTTGTCGTGTAAAAATCTGACTCTCTCCGGTTTGAGCCCCAATTTCTTCAAAGACTCGTTAACTCTCATTAATTGCTTCGAATAAAGATCAGCATCGACGGTTTGGCCAGGTTTCAGCACTTCACAATGCACCAACCCCTTGAAGTTCCACCAGCAA